AAAAAAAAAAAAAAAAAAAGAAAGAAAGAAAAAGTATAATATAATTATAGGAAGAAAACCTCTGACATCTTTATGCCCATTTACAGATGAGAATGCTAGAAGCCCATGGCTACTCAGTTGGCCGAAGCAGCCTCAGGGCTTGAGTCATGTCTGAGTCCAGGATGATGGTGACTGTCTACTTTGTTACCTGGCCCTGCAGCAGAGTAAAAGAACCAGTTCCTGCCTTCATGACATTATGGGGCAAATGTGCCTTAAACAGATAAGTCCTGTGTTCATTTAGAGATACCATGAAAAAGAACCTGGCTGTGTGTGGGGGCTCATGCTTGTAGTCCCAACACTTTGGGAGGCCAAGGTCGGAGGACTGCCTGAGCCCAAGAGTCCAAGACCAGCCTGGACAACACAGGAAAACCCCATCTCTACAAAAATCAAACAGTTAGCCGGGCAGATGGTGCAGGTCTGTGGTCCCAGCTACTTGGGAGGCTGAGGCAGGAGGAGTGCTTGAGCCTGGGAAGTCGAGGCTGCAGTGAGCCGTGATAGTGCCACTGCATTCCAGTCTGGGCAACAGAGCGAGATCCTATCTCAAAAAAACAAAAAAGAAAAGAAAAAGAAAAAGAACCACAGACACTGAGAGAGACTCTAAGAGGCAAACCCATGTTAGCCTTGGGGAGGGAATCTAGGACTTTCTCCTGGAGGTGACATTTAGACTGGTATCTAAAGGATGAATAGGAATAAGATTTCATGTGAACAGAAGACTTGATGGATTTAAAAACCAAAAAAAAGGCTGGAAAACCACCAGCCTCCCAATTGCCTGCCTGTGCAGGGGGCAGGTGTAGGTGCTGGTCCCCCCAGGCCCGTCTCAGACAGAGCCTCAAGTAATTGTATTAAAAATAAGTTTATTGATATCTTGTCACCACTGGGGAGAAAGGAGGGGGTTGAGCTCCAGAAGTCAGAGATGGCAATGGTAGGCAGAGAACCCAATCTCTGCCTCTCCTATCAGAACTCGGAGTCTCCTCTCCCTAGGGTATAGACGGCTATATCCTCTTTGTCATCCATATTTTGATTTGTCTCACGACTCCCACCCCCTCCAAAGTCTGGGATGGGGAGGTAGGGAGTCCCCCACGGGTCAATTCTTTTCAAGTCAAGAACAGGAATTGTTAGGGAAGGGCTATGTGCAGACCCGAGAGGTTTCCTCCCCACCCCACATAGGGCAATAATAAATAACATGAAATCGATGGCTTAGAAGTCAGGGTTAAGGGAGGCAGCCAGGCAGACAGCACTGTACCAGAGAAAGGGGTTGGGGGGGCCCACTGCTGAGGCCTCCCCAGAGAATCAGGCACTAACTAGCACAGGGAGTGGGTGCTCACATCCCTGGAGCAGGGAGCTAGGGTGCAGCTGGGATGGGCAGAGAGCATCGCCCCCCTCGACTGCGCCAAGCTGGGGAGAGGGGGTGCAGGCAGGAGTGTAGATAGTAGATTTCACGGAGATTTCCATCGACCGCGCCTTTTCCGTGTAGGGAAACCTTTTCTCCGCTTGTGTGGGGGGGAGTCGTGTGGAGGGAGTGGGGCTGAAGGTAGCCGGGGCGCCCCCTCCTCGCTTCTTGGGGCAATGATCACTCCCCTGGCTGCCACCACTGCCCCGTCCACCACAGCAGCCACCACAGACACGGGCTCTGGGGTGATCTCTACTTTGGGGGCTGCTCGCAGGAAGTCCAGGGAGGGGTCTGGGGCCGAGAGCATGGGTGGAGGCCGAGGAGGGGGTGGGGGGCTTGGGGGCGAGGGTGCCACTTGGGCCAGCGGCAGTGGGGGTGGCAGTGGAGGGGCTGGAGGCGGTGGAGACAAGGCCAGGCGAGGCAGCTGGACTGGCTGCAGGGCCGAAGGGGGTGGGGACTCACGCTCCTTGGGCCGAGGGCAGCCCCCTTCCTGGGGATTGCAGGAGGGCCGGGCCCAGGGCTCGGGGCTGCTGGAGTCCCCCTTGCTGTGGGCTGATGTATCTGTAGAGAAAGAAATGCAGGTAAGGGGTGAGTGACCCTTGATGCTGCCTTGATTTCCCCTTTCCCCCTCCCTCCCTCACCTTCCCCCGACCCAAACCTAGAACAGTCTTTCTCTGTTACCCAGGCTGGAGTGCTGTGGCACGATCTCGGCCCACTGCAATCTCCACCTCCCGGGTCCAAGCGATTCTCCTGCCTCAGCCTCTGGAGTGGCTGGGATTACAGATGCCCACCACCACACCCAACCAATTTTTGTATTTTTAGTTAAGACAGGGTTTCACCATGTTGGCCAGGCTGGTCTCGAACTCCTCACCTCATCATGCCTGGCCTCCCAAAGTGCTGGGATTACAGGCATGAGCCATTGCACTCAGCCCCAGAACGATCCTTTTAAAATGTAAGCCAGATCATGCCTTAGACGAGAAGCTCCAAGGAAAGCCAGTCTTTCTACCCAGAGAAGAGTCTGTGCCAGCTTTAGTGAAAACAGGTCCTGGAAGTCCCTTGCTGGCAGGCAGCTCCCATTTCACCCACAGTAAGAGCCAACACTTTTTTTTTTTTTTTTTTTTTTGTAGCCTAGGCTGGAGTGCAGTGGTGCGCGTATGATCTCGGCTCACTGCAACCTCCATCTTCTGGCTTCAAACGATTCTCCTGCCTCAGCCTCCCCAGATAGCTGGGACTACAGGTATGTGCCACCCTGCCTGGCTAAATTTTTGTATTTTTAGTAGAGACAGGGTTTTCTTGGCCAGGCTGGTCTCAAACAGGCTGACCTCAAGTGATCTATCCATCTTGGCCTCCCAAAGTTCTGGGATTGCAGGCATGAGCCACCATGCCCGACAAGGGCCAACATTTGACAAGGCTCTGAACTATGTGGATACTGCACCCACTGCTGGATCCTGAGGAGGTGAGAGAGGGGCCTGGGGGAGAGTAAGGGTGGCCGGGTACTGGGGACATTTCCCTGAGACTCTCTCCAACCAAGGCTGCAGGATTTTCCAGTTCAGCCCCCAGCCTGGTAGGCTTCCTCAGTCTCTACTCACCTGGGGTCTGACTCATGCTCGTGGGCTTGAACGCAGTCTGCATACACAGGCGCCCAGCTTCCTGGGCCCAGCCTGAACCTCTCGCCTGGGCTCCTGACTCCTCTCTCCTGCTGGGCACTCTAGATTGTCTAAAAATGCTCCAAACTCCCTTGCTCAGAGCTAGGCTTCTGATCCTCCCCAAACCTGCTCCTCCCTCAGCTCCTCCCATCTCAGCAGATGCAGCTCCATCCTCCCAGCTGCTCAGGTTAAACACCTTCACTGTTTGCTTTACTAAGACACCATCTGCGTGCAGACACTATCAGCTCTGCCTTCAAATTAATTACATCCAACGTCTTTCTCCATGGTCCCCCACCCCTGGTCTAACCGCCAGCATCTCCCAGCGAGACCACTGCAGTCACCACCTCACTGACGGCTCTCTGCTTCCACCCCTGCCCCGACACTGTCTTTTTCCACCATCAGCCTGAGGGGGTCCAACTAAATTACAAGGCAGTGAGGCTACAGGAAACAAGCTAGTCACAAAGGACCACAGATCTTAGGGGCCATTTATATGAAATGTCCAAAAGAGGCAAATCTGGCTGGGTGCAGTGGCTCATGCCTGTAATCCCAGCGCTTTGGGAGGCTGAGACGGGTGGATCAACTGAGGTCAGGACTTTGAGACCAGCCTGGCCAACATGGTAAAATCCCGTCTCTAGTAAAAATACAGAAAACCAGCTGAGTGTGGTGGCTCATGCCTGTAATCCCAGCTATTCAGGAGGCTGAGGCAGAAGAATTGCTTGAACCTGGGAGGTGGAGGTTGTAGTGAGCTGAGGGCACGCGACTGTACTCCAGCCTGGGCAATAGAGCAAGATTCTGTCTCAAAAAGAAAAAAATAGGCAAATCTATAGAGACAGAAAGCAGACGAGTGGCTTCCAGGGGCTGGGGGAAGATGGGGAAGATGGGGATTAGGGATGGCTAAGAGGTGCAGGGTTTCTTTCTGGAGTGATGAAAATGTTCTAAAATTGATTGTGGTGATGGTTGCACAACCGTGACTATACTAAAAGCCATTGATTTGTACACTTTATTTTTTATATTTTTGAGACAAGAGTCTCGCTCTGTTGCCCATGCTGGAGTGCAGTGGTGAGATCTCAGCTCACTGCAGGCTTAACCTCCCCAGCTTAGCGATCCTCCCATCTCAGCCTCCTGAGCTGCTGGGACCACAGACGCACAACCCCATGCCAGGCTAATTTTATTTATTTTTTTGTAGAGATGAGGTCTCACTATGTTGCTCAGGCTGGTCTCAAACTTCTGGGCTCAAGCGAATTGTACACTTTAAGTGAGTTGATAGTATAGTATGGGAATTATATCTAATATAATTATTTTTAAAAATACAAGTCAGGCCAGCCACAGTGGTTCACATCTGTAATCCCAGTAGTCTGGGAGGTCGATCACGAGGTCAAGAGTAGTCTGGCGGGCGGATCACGAGGTCAAGAGATCTACACCATCCTGGCCAACATGGTGAAACCCCGTCTCTACTAAAAATACAGCAATTAGCTGGGTGTGGTGGTGCGTGCCTGTAGTACCAGCTACTTGGGAGGCTGAGGCAGGAGAATCGCTTGAACCTGGGAGTCTAGATCGCACCACTGCACTCTGTCCAGCCTGGCAACAGAGCAAGACTCTGTTCCAAGAAAAAAAATATGTAAGTCAGATATTGTTTCTATGCTCGAACCGTCCTGTGGCTCCCACCTCGCTCAGGGTAAAAGCAAAGTCCTTGAGGCCTCTAGGGCCCTGCCTCCCTGACCTCAGCTCCCATCCCTCCCTCTGAACTTACTTAGCTCTAGCCATGTGGGCTCCTTGCGGACCCTCAAACACATCAGGCCTACTTCTTTTTTTTTCTTTTTTTTTGAGTAGGAGTCTCATTCTGTCACCCAGGCAGGAGTGCAGTGGCGCAGTCTCGGCTCACTGCAGCCTCTGCCTCCTGGGCTCAATCGATTCTCCCACCTCAGCCTCCTGAGTCGCTGGGACTACAGGTGTGCACCGCCATGCCTGGCTAATTTTTGTTTTGTTTTTGTAGAGACAGGGTTTTGCCATGTTGCTCAGGCTGGCCTGTCCCTCTCCTTTTCTCTCCCCTAACCCTACCTGATTCCTCTCCTAGCTCTTATCTCCACCTGGCATGGAGTGGCTCTGCGTCTGCTGTCTGCCTCCTCCTCCTGATGTCAGCTCCATCAGGCAGGGCTTTCGATCGCTCCCTTCTGTTTACCCGGTGCCTAGAACAGTGTCCAGCACAACATTTTTTCTTTAATGAGAAAACAACTGGGGCTTCCAGAGAGTCAGCGCTGATTGGGTCCCAGGCTCCAGAGCTCCCAGCAGCCACAGGAGAAAGTCCAGCCTCTTTCCACAGCTCTGGGGCCTCAGCGCTTGCTCCCACCTCCTTCTTTCTGTCTGTCTTCCCACGTGCTGTTCCCTGGGCCAGGCTCACACTGCCTCTTGCGTCAGCTTGGATGTTTTTTTCGGATGTTCCTTCCTTGGGGAAGTTGGCCTCTCGCTCCTTGGCCAAATCAGATTACCCCGTTCTTCTCTCAAAAACAGCCAGCCAAAGAAAGAGAGAGAAAAGAAAAAAAAAATAACAAAAACAAAAAACCAGCCATCCAGGCTAGGCACAATGGCTCACGCTAGTAATCCCAGCATTTTGGGAGGCCCAGGCATGTGGATCACCTGATGTCAGGAGTTTGCGAACAGCCTGGCCAACATGGTGAAGTCCTGTCTCTACTCAAAATATAAAAATTAGCTGGGCGTGATAGGGCATGCCTGTAATCCCAGCTACTCCAGGTACAAGAATCGCTTGAACCTTGGAGGCAGAGGTTGCAGTGAGACTAGATCGAACTCTAGCCTGGGCGACAGATCAAGACCCTGTCTCAAAGACAAACCAACAAACCAGCCACATCCTGCCCTGGCTGCTGGGGTCCAGCCTCCCTGGGCCAGCCACCAGCAGGAGGTAGGGAGGCTGGGAGAGAGATAAGCAGAGCGGACAGTTACAGGACAACTGAGCCAGGCCCTGGGCTAAATCCCCTCTTACATGATCTCATGGAGTCCTCCCAGCCATTCTCTGGGGAAGGCACTATCATGACCATCGCCCCATTTTACAGATGAGGTGACTTGATGCTCAGAGAGAGGTGTCATATGCAGAAAAGGGATTTGAACCTGGGTTGACTCCAGAGTCCGTGCTTTTGTTCGTTTTGTAGAGATGGGGGCCTCGCTATATTGCCCAGGTTGGTCTCAAACTCCTAGCCTCAAATGATCCTCCTACCTTGGCTTCCCAAAGTGCTGGGATTACAGGTGTGAGCCACTGCATGGCCAGAGTCCACGCTCTTTTTGTTTTTGAGACAGAGTCTCACTCTGTCACCCAGGCTGGAGTGCAGTGGCATAATCTGGACTCACTGCAACTTTTACCTCCCAGGTTCACTCATGCCTCAGCTTCCTGAGGAACTGGGATTATAGGCATGTGCACCACGCCTGGCTGATTTTGTATTTTTAGTAGAGACGAGGTTTTACCATGTTGGCCAGGCTGGTCTCGAACTCCTGTTCTCAAGGGATTCGCCCACCTTGGCCTCCTCGGTCTCCCAGAGTGCTGGGATTACAGGTGTGAACCACTTCGCCACAGCAGAATCCATGCTCTTAAACACTTCTGGGGCAAGGGCTGTGGGCCTGGGGTGTGGGTATTGGTAGGAAGTCTTCCTTATAAGGAACATGGGAATTGCAGCCACTCAGAAATGTGGCTTTTCTGGTCTACTGAGTAAAAAGGAACAGAAAGTAGCCCAGCCTTCATGCCCACCAGGTTCACAGGAGTCATAGAGGCCACTGCAAGAGTTTTTTTTTTTTTTTTTTGGTTTTTACTTTTTTCTTTTAGAGACAGAGTCTAGCTTTGTCACCCAGGCTGGAGTGTAATGGTGTGATCTCCACTCACTGCAACTTCCACCTCCCAAGCTCAAGCAATTCTCCTGCCTCAGCCTCCAGAGTAGCTGGGATTATAGGCACACACCACCACGCCTGGCTAATTTTTGTATTTTAGTAGAGATGGAGTTTCACCAGGTTACCTAGGCTGGTCTGGAGCTCCTGACCTCAGGTGATCTACCTGCCTCAGCCTCCCAAAGTGCTGGGATTACAGGTGTGAGCCACCGTGCCCAGCTGTTTTGTTTTTTTTGAGGAAGGCTCTCGCTCTGTTGCCCAGGTTGGAGTGCAGTGGTACGATCATGGCTCACTGCAACCTCTGCTTCCCAGGCTCAACGGATCCTCATGCTGCTTCAACGTCATGTGTGGCTGGGACCAAGGTGCCATGCCACCATGGCTGGTTAATTTTTGGATTTTTTTGTAGAGATGGGGTCTCACTTTGTTGCCCAGGCTAGTCTTGCACTCCTGGGATCAAGCAATCCTCCAGCCTCAGGCTCCCAAAGTGCTAGGATTACAGACATGCCTCTGTGCCTGGCTTCACTGTGAGAGTTAAAATCATATTTATTTGCAAACTTTGGATCTCAGTTTTCCCTACTTGTTGTTTTTGTTTGTTTGTTTTGAGAAGGAGTCTCGCTCTGTCACCCAGGCTGGAGTGTAGTAGCACGATCTCAGGTCACTGCAACCTCCACCTCCCAGGTTCAAGTGATTCTCCAACCTCAGCCTTCTGAGTAGCTGGGATTACAGGTGCATGCCACCATGTCCGGCTAATTTTTGTATTTTTTAGTAGAGATGAGGTTTCGCTATGTTGGCCAGGCTGGTCTCGAACTCCTGACCCCAGGTGATGTGCCTGCCTCGGCCTCCTGAAATGCTGGGATTAGGCATGAACCACTGCACCTGCCCCTCAGTTTCCGTACTTGTAAATGAGTGTGTGACCTGGGACTACACAGAGTGCTGAGATTACAGGCGTGAGCCACCGTGCCAGGCCTGTGTAAAGTTCTAATCGAGGATGCTCTATGCATGTTCCCGCCTCAGAACCTTTGCACATGCTGTTTCCTGTAGCAGGAGTGCCCTTTTCCCAGGTGTCTGCCAGGCTCACACTATTCTCACCTCTACTTGAATTTCACCTTCTCTGAGAAGCCCTTCCTGACTACCCCTACAGCCCCCTTCCGTGACTCACCATCCTCTGAATATGCCTTATTTCTCCTCTTAGTTCTTACCACCTCCTGTATACACAGTCTATTTTGAGGGTTACTTCTTTGTGGTCTGTTTTCTTCAACTACATAGAATGTCGGCTCCATAAGGAAAGGGGATCTTGTTTTTCTTTACAGTATTCCCTGCACTTACAATAGTAGCTGCCTTGAAAGGGATTCTCAATGTATTATTTGTTAAATGAGTCAATGAAGCGGTTATACAGCTTCTGAAAAAATAAGTTGGCCATCTCTGCTCTGCTCCTATGGGGCCATCTCACAGATGGAAACACCGAGGTTTGATTCAAGGTTTGAGAACAAGGATCCCACGTGATTGTGTCACCTTCCTGCTTAAGAGACTTTCATGCCTGCTGAATGCACTTAAGAGCAAATCCAGGCTGGGCGCGGTGGCTCATGCCTGTAATCCCAGCACTTTGGGAGGCCGAGGAGGGCGGATCATCTGAGATCGGGAGTTTGAGACCAGCTTGGTCGACACGGTGAAATCCTGTCTCTACCAAAAATACAAAAACTACCCAGGCATGGTGGTGGGCATCTGTAATTCCAGCTACTCAGGAGGCTGAGGCAGGAGAATCACTTGAACCTGGGAGGCAGAGGTTGTAGTGAAGCCAAGATTGTGCCCCTGCTTTCCAGCCTGGGCAACAGGGCGAGACTCCATCTAAGAAAAAAAAGAAAAGCAGGTTCAAATTCCTGACCTTGACTTCCACACCACGTGTAATCTAATTCTGACACACTCATTAACTGCTGGTCAATATTAACTCTTGTTATTGCTAGGCAATCTAGCCCAGTGGTTAACTGCCATGGACTGGGAGTTGGACACACACTTATGTTTGAGTCCTGACTCTGTCACTTGCTGTGTGACCTTGTGTTGGTGAATGAACCTCTCTGAATCACTTGATCTTGAATTGTCTTAATTGATCATGCCCATGTTCCTCCCCTTCTTCCAACGCTTCAGTGGCTCCTCATAGCAGTCAGGATAAAATCCAAACTCCTCACCTTGGCCTAAAGGCGCAGTATGGTCTGGCCTTTGCTGACCTCTCTGAGCTCATCTCAAAATGTTACTTTTCTTCAACCTTTCCCCTCTACACCCTCTGCCCTGCAACTTTTAGTTTCCCAAACTGGCCAAGCTTTCTTGCCCCCAAGCCATTGCACGTGCTGTTTCCTCTACCAAAAATACCTTCCCAGCTCTTCATCTTACTCTTTGCATTTCAGCTCTGATGCCCCCTCCTCCAGGAAGCCCTCCTGGATACTCCCCCTCCCCCGCCCACCTCCCCCACCAGAGTCGGAAACCCCTTCTGGGCTCCCACAGTCCCTAGGATCCCCCACCCCAGCCCTGTCCCCTCAACTCATCACTGTCTTCCCCACCCCACTACTGGACTGGCTCAGTCATCCATGTGTCTCCAGCCTTATCCAGCACAGAGCAGGTGCTCAGGGGATGGCTGTAGAAGAAATAATCCAGAATCAAAGCTAAGCAGGAAGTCTCTGTAGTCAGCTCTCCACACCTCTATCGAAGGCATGACCTTGGGAAAATGACCAAACACGTCTGAGTCTTTGATTTAGGAAATAGTGAAATAGTATGCATCTCGCTGCAATGACGATTCTATCAAGAACTAACAGTGAGAGTTCAGGAGGTGCTAACCTCAGCAACTTACCCATATTAGCTCATTTAATCTTTACAGCAACACTTTGAGGGGCAGACTATTTTTATCTCCATTTTACAGATGCAGCAACTGAAGTACAGTAACTTACTCAGATGACACACTGGAGTGGCAAAGTTGTGATTGGAGCCCAGGCAGTCTGCCTCCAGAGTCACTACTCTACACTGCCTTTCATGAAATCCTGCCTGTGCTGACGATCCCAGGTGTGGACCTGAGTCAGGCCTCCTAGGTCTGGTTTCATTCCTGACTCTTGACAGTCACTAGCTAAGGGACCTGAGGCAAGTCATTTCATTTCTCTGCGTTTCAGTTTCCCTCGCTATAAAGTAAGGAGGACAGCACCCACCTCACAGGCTGCAGCAAGTATTGGATGAGCCACGTAAAAGGCTTGGAACAGCGCAGGCACACAGCCAACTTTGTGTTTGCTCTCGCTAAGGCGATGCTGAAGACACTCACCTGCACGCGCAGGCACACAGCCAACTTTGTGTTTGCTCTGCTAAGGCGATGCTGAAGACACTCACCTGCACGTCGGTCCTCCCTGCGGTCTTCCGACAACACATAGCGTTGGGGGCAGGCGCTTGGGGGCGGCGGCTGTGAGGAGGGTGCTGCAGGGGGCTCCTCCGCCCCAGCACCTGCCCCTGGCACCGCCACACCTGGCCCCAGGATGGCAAAAATGGTCTCCTCTTCTGCAGAGAAGGCGTCCTCGGCGGCGGGCCCGGCACCCTGCGTGGAGTGCGGCACGCGGGCGAGCTTCTCCTTGGTGCGGCGCTTGAAGTCGTTCCAGCGCTTCTGCACCTCCTGGCCCGTGCGCTTCCAGCTGGTGATACCGTTGATCTTGGCAGCGATGCCGTCCCACACGCGCCGCCGCTCGGCCACGCTCACCCGACGGCTCTGCGCGCCGTAGAGCTGCGGGTAGTGGGCGCGCACCTCGCGGATCAGGATCTGGTTCTCTTCGAACGAGAAGCGCGGCTTGCGCAGCCGGGTGGTTTCCTCCGTTTCGCCCGCCGCCGCCGCCGCCGCCGCCGAGGCCATGGCGCCCCCCGACGCCGCCGTCCGGCCGCCTGGCGCATGGGGGGCGCCGGCGCTGTGGGCAAAGGGCGCAAGGGGCTGGCGGGGGCTCGACGTCCCCCCCGCCGCCGCCCGCCCAGACCGCCGGGCCGCGATCTCCTCGGCCCCTGGGGCAGAAGTGCGGGCGGGGGGCAGGGGGAGGGCAGGGGCGACGGGCACCCGGGGCAGTCGGAAGCGTCTAAGAATAGCTGACGCCAGCGGAGCGCTCGGCTCGGGCTTCACGTGGCGCTAAGTGCCACGCTGAGGAGTTGATGGAAATTGGGGGAGGGTCTGAGGAATGGAGGGAAAGGAGGAAAAGTGCGAGGACAGGAGGTGTCTGCAGGACTTAGAGAGTGGGGGCACGGGAGGACAGGAAATGGAGGGAGGATGGGGGTGTCTTAGGGGTCTTAGATGCATGAAGATGAGGAGATGTGGAAGGGGCGATACACCAAGAAGGGGGGAATCTGGAGCAGAGGAGGCGCTCTAGGGGCTCCGGGGGGCAACGGGGCGTCTGTAAGACTGATATGAGAAGGGCCCTGAGAGGGGCTGTCCAGGAATAATGGTGAAGTGGAAGCTCCCCTATCAGTGGAAGAGCTGGGACGATCAAATATTAGGGATCAGGGTCTGCGAGGATTGTGGGGGCTCTAGGGATTGCCACAAATTAAGGGGAGCTCTGGAGATATTGGGGGTCCGGGATCACAAGGAGACAGCAGAGGCTACGGGGGACTGCAGGAAGAGCGAGGGTCGCGGAGGGTGGGGACCGAGTCGGGCCACGGGTCACTCACCGGCGTCGCCGCAGCCGCCGGTGGGTCAGGGCTTGGGCTTCTGCGGCCTGTTCCCACCCCCCGCCCCCTCCCTCCCCTGTTTGGGCCCCGCCTCCGGCCGCCCCGCATGCCAAGGCGCAGGCGCGTCCAATGCCAGTCGGCCCCAACGCCCTCAACCTTCCCCAGCATGGCGCAGGCGCAGAACTGCGCTCCGCCGAGCCCCACCGGCAGGCCGCAACCGCGCAGCCGCAAGGTTAGCGCCGCGCGGGTCCCCAACCACCCCCCAAGGCCACAACGGCGCACGCGCGAAAACTCGTCGCGCGCATGCGCGTCTCTGGGGTGGTACCCGGGACCTGGTCTCGGCGCAGGCGTAGCGAGCCTTGGAATAGGTGGGAGATGCTGGGAGCGCGCTAGTACCGAGCGGTGTCCCAGCCTTTCCGCCAGTCTTCCAGCCCACCCTGCCCTCTAACTACGCAACTGTCCCTTTCTTTAGGAGAAAGGGGAGTGAGGCAGCGCTGAAGGGAAGCGCTTCGTCTTCTTGACAACTGCGTGGCTGGGGTGGAGGCGTGAGAAAGCCGCTTTGCCTACTCATTTGCCCGCCCCTTCGCTGGGCCGCTCCAGAGCTGCCCACCTCGCACCTCTAGAGGCTGGGCGTCCTGGTGATGTCCCGCCCCGGGCGGATGCAGTAACCATAGCAACCCACTAGCCTTCCAATCACACCTTGGGTGCCCCTCTGTCCGTACATTTACTTCGAGGAGCCGGGAAGATGCGAGGGAAGAGCTTCTTGGCGAGTAGGGAGAGAGATCCTGACCCCGGCACGACTTTAAGCGAGTGCATGGAGACAGGAATGAAGCCAGAACGCAGGTCGGGTGAGCCGGATGGCAGGATGATGGAGCTCAGTCCAGCTGAGAAATGTGTTCGTTAGCATCCTGCAGGAGTCCTCAAGATCATTCGACAACCGGTGCTTCATTCATCGATTCAATAAATATACATGAGCACTTATAACAATTCCTGGTACAATGAGCATAAAAGCAAAAATCCGTAGTCTGGGCCTGGCTCCGTGGCTCATGCCTGCAATCCCCACACTTTGGGAGGCCAAGACAGGCGGATCACCTGAGGTCAGGAGTTCGAGACCAGCCTGGCCATCATAGCGAAACCTCATCTGTCCTGAAAATACAGGCATGGTGGTGCATGCCTGTACTTCCAGCTACTCGGGAGGCTCAGGCATGAGAATTGCTTAAACCCGGGAGGCAGAGGTTGCAGTGAGCTGAGATTGCACAGCTGCACTCCAGCCTGGGTGACAGAGCAAGACGCCGTCTCAAAAAAAAAAAAAAAAAAAGAAAGATAGGGTGAGTGTAAACTGACCAACAGGTTGAATGGTTTCCCCCCAAAAATAGAGGCTGATGTCCTGATCCCCCAGTGCTTCAGAATGTGACCTTATTTGGAAACAGGGCCCTTGGAGAGGGAATTCTTTAAGACGAGGCCATACCAGAGTGGAGTGGGCCCTTCGTTCATCATTCCTGGTGTCTATATAAGAAGAGAAGACACACAAAGGAAGACAGCTCTGTGGCGACAGAGATGGGGGTGCTGCAGCCACAAGCCCAGGAAGGCACTGTGCTATCATAAGCTGGAAGAAGCCAGGAAATATCCTCCCCTAGAAGCTTGTCGGGAGTGAGGCCAGGCCCATGCCTTGATTTAGGATTGTCAGCCTGGTGAACTGGGAGACAATATGTTTATCTCTCTTTTTTTTTTTTTTTTGAGATAGAAAGTCTCCCTCTGTCGCCCAGGCTGGAGTACAGTGGTGCAATCTTGGCTCACTGCAGCCTCCTTCACCTCCCGGTTCCAGTAATTCTCCTGCCTCAGCCTCCTGAGTAGCTACGATTACAGGTGTCCGCCACCATGCCCAGCTAATTTTTGTATTTGTAGTAGAGACAGGGTTTCACCATGTTGGCCAGGCTGGTCTCAAACTCCTGACCTCTGGTGATCCGCCTGCTTCGGCCTCCCAAAGTGCTAGAATTACAGGTGTGAGCTACTGTGCCCGGCCATGTTTCTCTTGTTTTAAACCATCCAGTTTTTGGTGTCATGGCAGTCACAGGAAACAAATGCACTGGGGACCCCGGGGAGGCATCCAGGGAGCTGCGGGCTCCATGGCATTCCAGGCAGAGAGCTGAGTCTAAATCTGGTTTGGAGTTCACGAGACGGGAGGTGGAGAGCCACAGGCAGCAGGGTATGGAGCTCCACAGATGTGGGTAGCTGGAGGCTGGATGCTGGAGGCTGGATGCAGGAAGTCAGAGGCAAGTCTCCTGGAATCAGGGCAGCTTGGGGAAGGCTTTCTTGGGCCAGGATTTCTTTTTCTTTTTTCTTTTTTTTTGATATGGAGTTTTGCTCTTGTTGCCCAGGCTGGAGTGTAATGGTACCATCTTGGCCCACAGCAACCTCTGCCTCCCGGGTTCAAGCAATTCTCCTGGCTCAGACTCCTGAGTATCTGGGGCTGCAGGCGCTCACCACCATGCCTGGCTAATTTTTGCATTTTTATTTTTTATTTTATTTTATTTATTTATTTTTTTTGAGACAGAGTTTCACTCTTGTTACCCCGGCTGGAGTGCAATGGCGCAATCTCGGCTCACTGCAACCTCCGCGTCCTGGGTTCAGGCAATTCTCCTGCCTCAGCCTCCTGAGTAGCTGTGATTACAGGCATGCGCCACCATGCCCAGCTGATTTTTTGTATTTTTAGTAGAGACGGGGTTTCACCATGTTGACCAGGATGGTCTCGATCTCTTGACCTCGTGATCCACCCGCCTCGGCCTCCCAAAGTACTGGGATCACAGGCGTGAGCCACCGCGCCCGGCCATTTTTGCATTTTTAGTAGAGATGGGGTTTCACCGTCTTGGCCAGGTTCATCTCCAACTTCTGACTTCAGATGATCTGCCCGCCTTAGCCTCCCGAAGTGCTAGGATTACAGGCGTGAGCCACTGCACCTGGCCAAGGACCACATTTTCAAAACTATAGGTCTTTTTTTTTTGAGACACAGACTTGCTCTGTGACCCAGGCTGGAGTGCAGTGGTACAATCATGACTCAAACTTCCCTGCTCAAGCAACCCTCCCACCTCAGCTTCCAGAATAGCTGGAACTACAGGCACACACCACCATGCCCGGCGAATTAAAAAAATTTTTCTGTAGAGACACGGTCTCACTATGTTGCCCAGGCTGGTCTCAAATTCCTGGGCTTGAGCAGTCCTCCCACCTCGGCCTCCTAAAGTGCTAGGATTACAGGCGTGAGCCACTGAATCCAGCCAAAACTATGAATCTTGACCCATTAGTGAGTCCAGGAAAATATTTACGGGGTTGCAAGTAGCATTAAACAAACGCACAAAATAAAAGAATAGTAAAATATCAGATGCACTGTATGGAGTAAGAGAGTATTAAGGAAGTATTTCTCTAAGAAAATTTGTTTCTATTCTATATTTTTCTTCCTTCCTTCCCTCCCTCCTTCCCTTCTTTCCTCCTTCCCTCCTTCCCTCCTTTCCTTTTTTTGGGATTATTGGTCTGTCACCCAGGGAAATGGGGTTTCGCCCTGTTGGCCAGGCTGGTCTTGAACTCCTGGCCTCAGGTGATCCACCTGCCTCAGCCTCTTAAAGTGCTGGGATAATAGGTGTGAGCCACTGCACCCCATCTTCAATGATATATTTTCAGGGGTTGTTGGGCCACACCACAAGATAGTGGAAAGTGCTCAACTCTGGAGCCAGCCTGTCTGGGTTAGAATTCTCTCACTTTTTTTCTTTCTTTTTTTTTTTCTTTTTGAGACAGAGTCTCGCTCCATCGCCAGGTGCCAGGCTGGAGTACAGTGGCGTGACCTTGGCTCACTGCAACATCCACCTCCCGGATTCAAGCAACTCTTCCGCCTCAGCCTCCCAAGTAGCTGAGACTACGGGTGTGCGCCACCACACCCAGCTAACTTTTGTATTTTTAGTAGGGACGGGGTTTCACCATGTTGGCCAGGATGGCCTCGATCTTTTGACCTAGTGATCCGCCTACCTCAGCCTCTCAAACTGCTGGGATTACAGGCGTGAGCCACCGGGCCCGGCCCGAATTCTCTCACTTGTTAGGTGATCCTGAACAAGTTACTTAACTCTCTGGGCCTTAGTTTTTCTCTCTTTAAAATGAGGATTAACTCTAGGATCTACCTCATTGGACTGTTAGGAGTATTAACTGGGTCACACGTAGAAAGTATTTTGAGCTGTTCCTGCCATGTAATATAATAATTACCCTGTTAATATTACTATGATTATTATTTTGTGTGTATATTAAATTATGCTGTAGGCCGGGCATGGTAGCTCACGCCTGTAATCCAAGCACTTTGGAGGCCAAGGCGGGCGGATCACCTGAGGTCGGGAGTTCAAGACCAGCCTGACCAACATGGTAAAACCCTGTCTTTAAAAAAAAAAAAAAAAAAAAAAAAAAAAAAAAAACCCTATATTTAAAAAAAAAAAAAAAAAAAAAAATTATGCTGTAAATGAACTTTTCCTTGTAGGCTGCAGTAAAAAGTGAAAACAAAACCTGCATCTGGGAGAGGAAGCTGCAGTCACAGAGGTGTGAAAAAATGAAGAGAAGAACTGTCTGGCATTTTTTCCTCTGCCAACTCTCTTTCTCCTTCTCTTCTTGAGAGAAGGAGGGAAGGAGAAAGAGAGTTGGCAGAAGAAACAGGAGATGGGATTGAGGAAACTGCCGGATCATATGGGGCCTGGAAGGTAAGGAGTTTGGGCTTTCTCTTGAAGGCACTGGGGAGCCACACGGCATGGTCTTAGCACAGAAGAGGGAGGAGTCATATTTGTGTTTTAGAAACCCCCCCTCACCCGCCCTGGGCCAGGCGAGGTGGCTCAGGCGTTTAATCCCAGCACTTTGGGAGGCTGAAGTAGGCAGATCACCTGATGTCAGGACTTCAAGACCAGCCTGGCCAACATGGTGAAACTCTATCTCTACTAAAAATACAAAATTTACCCAGGTGTGGTGGTGGGCACCTGTAATCCCAGCTACTCGGGAGGTTGAGGCAGAAGAATCACTTGCACTCAGGAGGTGGAGGTTGTAGT